TTCTAGTGAAATGTGAATGGCTAAAATTCTCTTGGACCTCCAGGAGACGTTCATCGGGTGGCTCATATATTGGAATTTGACATTATTCCATAATATCGTCATGCCGGGATGTTCGCCGTCTCTAAGTACCTGTTTCCATGACTTGTGTGTACTGATGTGGGATAATTGATATTGATTGTTAAAAAACTATCCGTTGAACTTCAACGCGTGAAGTGTGTTAAGCTTCAGCTTCACTCTTTTTAGAGCTCATCAATGTCATCCGGGTTTTGAACTCCAAGCCCGTCGCAAAATACGTGTTATCATTGTGCCAACTAGCTCCTACCTGAGCTGAACCGAACTACCAGTTCATCTTTTTTCAACTATCATCTTCAGTGCTGGCCAGTCAGTTTTGCCCCGAGGAGGATTGTACTTGAAGGTGAAGTCCGAAGAATCAAAACAATTTTAAATCTTATATTGTCAAGCTTAAATTAGCCCAGTTGCTCTTTCAGAGGCACCGGGCATTCTTCGTGGTCTTGGATGTGGGTTTCACGTCCTGGGATATCGGTAATTCCCCACTGGTTGAATGCATAGAAATGCGTTAGAAATGTTTGCGATAGCCGACAAACAGCACTGGTCAGCTTTTTCGTTCCGTTTGGGAACTTAAAAGTCCCAACCCGAAAGTTTTTGGTTCGAGTCCTGAAAGGGACACAAACAGTACACACTGATGGCGAATCCCAGACAAAACGAAACAGCTGTCCAGTGCTCTGTGTCGGCCATCACAAACATTTCCAATTTTAAATCTGTCCAGACCTCTTGCTCAACCGTTTTTTTCTTTATGATTCTCTTATTGATATATTGGATTCTCATGGTCACTCTTTCGCTTTTTTTACTATTTTAAGGGTTTCTATAGATAACTTCTTGAGAATATTCCATACACTGAACTCGATATGAGATTAATGTTTTTGTTCAAACTTGGATCCCTTTGTACTTTTTTTTTCAAAATAGCCGGATGATTGCGAGGAGGTTCTGATAAATAAACAAAAAGTAAATGTTAAGAGTTCACGTATAAAACGACTTTGATTCATTAGTCACGTCCACTCTGTATGAGAATAGAAACTCTGTTTGAACATCACTTTCATTCATTTATATGTGCATATTTACAAATTAAGTATTTTTTGTACAAAAGCTCATCGATCAATGAAATCAACAGTTTATATACATTGGTTCGGAGAAATTTTCACGAGGTAGGATTTATCTGTGTGTGTGTATGTGTCAAGGTTGTTTGTCTATTGTGCTTTGGGTACGGACGTGCTGGCACCGGCGGAGTGAAACTTGGCCACATGACAACCGAAACGTTCTGGGTTTCGTTTCTCGCGCATACGACGATTCTGAAACCACGTCCGGATCTGAATCGGTGAGGGGTGAAACGTTAAAGTTGGAATACGTGAATACAATACAACTCGGGGATGTAAGCATCATGGGTATGATTTTTTTCCTACAGGCCACCCCACACAGCTTTTAGAAAATAACGGTAATCGTTTTTCCAACATGGGTTCGACCGGGAAACTTAAATAATACCAAAAAAGCAACTTCTAGCTACTCAGTTGTTGTCAGTAGTACAATTCTGAATGTGCATAGTGACATCGAAAAAATATTCGGACAGTCAGGCACATTCAACCAAATAGAATTTCCTGGTAAGACGGGCATCAGAACGTAAACCGATTGATATTCCGCATTTTAAATTTAAAACTATCCCCTCGAAGCATTCCAGAGTAGGGAAACGCTAGGACATCTGGAATGGCGAATTACAAACTTTCCTAAAACTTGGGAAATCAATTGCATACGCAACCGTATTCTGAAACAAACAGTGTCACAAACAGGCACTTTCAGTTACATGTGCCCCACATCTTAGTCATTTCCAATCTATACTGCTGGTATTGTTAAGCGTATCGCCATTTGAAATTATGAATTACAAAAAACTCACTTGTAAAACTTGTCATTTTTTTCCAGTGAAAACACGTAAAGAATATTGGTGCTTTCATTTATATTATTTTTGTCTGCCTGATTTATCTACCAGAAGAAAAATGGCTGGCCCGTATTTGTGTTCATCTTTGATCACATACAAATTGACGGCTACAAACGATATTTAAAAGTACTTTCATGAGATTAGTCTGGTGAAAACAACAAACCCTTTTACATCCCTAGCTTCTGGGGATTTCAAAATTTTGTCAGATTCATGCAGTCTGGTTTCAGGTTCAATTGAAAAAGCGTTTACTGCGGTCACGCCTGATATGCTAGTATTTACACTATCGACGAAATGGACGAAAATGTAATTTATTTCATTTTCAAGATTTTCGCACTCACAAGTAGGTCAACAAAAACAGTGTAAAAACTGAGCTTACCCTATCTTCACTCAGATTTAGCTGTTTCGAAAGCAATTCACGATCTTTTGTGGATAAATAGGGACTCCTCTGGAAAAATGTTTCTAAACACTTCATATGTTGCGGTTGAAAATAGGCCCGGGCTTTGCGATATTGTCTTGGTTTTTGTGTACTCGTAGTCTCGTTTGCCTTTCCGTTTCCGGGCACGAATTCCACTGTTGTGACTTCGGAATTGTGGTCCTTTGTGGCGGATGAACAGGGACCGGTGGATGAGTTTGACTGATTATATATATTTCTGAGTTCCCTGAGCGGTGAATGAGATACAAAGGTCATTTCGTTTGAGCAAGAGTTAAACAGTGACGGGAGCATCGGATCTAGCATTAATCCCGCATACAGTGGTGGGTGCGAAGGAGGTAGCAGGGATGCCTCCGCCGATGGTGATGAATAGGGAAATACATGTTTCGGGAGTCCAGCTTCAGGTTTAATTGACCATAGCATTTGATGTACACTTTCCTTTGCCTCGATATCGCTATTACTATCTGCTGAAAATAAAATGAACTTGTGATGTAATACGTAATGGCAAATTTGATAATTTGTCAATATGAATTGAACAGATCGCATAATAAAGTATAGCAGAGTCTTTATAGTTTTTGTTCTGAGTAACTTGTACCTTGATTTTGTTCAAATTCGATTCAAGTAGACTGTTGCTTTCTACACGAGAATTTGGGTGAACTAGTAATATACCAGTTATATCGTTAAATTCATCCACTTTTATAAAACCTCTGTCACTCTCTCCGAAGTATCTGTCTTTGTTCACTAGAGGACAGACGTTCAGTATGGAGCAATGGTAGAGAGCGGAGGAGGGGGCGGGGAGTGACAAGGATGAGAGCTGATTTGAGGATAACCTGTAACTTTCAGGTAGAAGTTTAGTTTTCGTTAGAAAAAGATTATTTTCATGCAAGCGAGGTTCCTCACACTGAAATAAATCTTGCTATTCCGTTATCGAACGATTTGTGGATAAAAATTTAAAAACCAAAGGGGAATGAAAAGATTTCGCGGAATAGGGATATTCCTATTCAGTTAGTGAACGCGATTCTTCAATAAATGGAGGTTAGAAATGTATATTCACGAAAAAAAGACCAATTAGTGAGGAAAATCGAGTTCCCGGGGAGAATTTCAAAATGTTTTGAGTCTTATCTATCACCTGACGTATTGATCGTGAAACCGTTCAACTCGCCACGTGGTATTTGTATTTTATTTGTATAACTTGTGTAGGCATATGTGCTTACATTTCGGTTAAAAATGAACACTGTTCATCAAGCGAAATGAAATAATAATAATAATAATAGTAACAATAATCATGAACTATAACACGAAAGGTAAAGAATGTCGATGTTATTTGCTTCATGTACAAAACTTTTGACGTAGTTCACTTGCGACGTTTTGTTTAGCAGTCGGGTCGGGTCGGATCGGGTGCAGGGGAATTTTCATAAATGTTAATACCGAAACGAGGAGTGTGTGGACGGATGGGAACGACAGATGATAGATTAAGGTGCAGTGTATGAAGAGGCTTATCTAGAATCTTTTGGACAAATTTAACACAAGGGCTGATGTGACCATCAATGATTTGTGTGATTAGTGAATCGATCGGAATTCATGATGATGATTATCAAACCGCGGCAAATTGTTTTGAAGTCTTGTTTTAAAAGACCGGAAAACACTACAGGGAAAAATAGAGTTGAATGAGCAGTACATGCTGGTGAATGAAAGACGACAGAACTGACTTTAGGTTTCGGTATTGCCTGAGTTTGCGTAGCTGGAAAGATAGACGTCTCAGTTTTCCCATACAGTTGTAAATATGTGTAGACCAATGAAGATAGCTGTCGATTGTGACACCCAGGTACTTGACTGAGGTAATTCTGGATACCGTTCAGGGTAGCAGAGTCCGTTGTTAATGATGGGTGGGAAAGACTGAAAATGCACTCTACGCACTTAGATATGTTAAGACTGAGACCAGATTGATCAGAAAACTGTTGGATATGGGATAGGTTTTCAGTAAAAGAATGAAATTCCGAAGGAGATGAAACTGTCTGGCATAAAACAACGTCATCAGCATACTTTTGGATGTGTGCTGGGCGAAATCACTAATGAAGGCAGAAAAAAGATATGCAGATAGAACAGCACCTTGAAGAACACCAGAATTACTAACAAGAGGTTTGGATGTCCTACTTCCTAATTTGATGCGTTGGACCCTCTCTGTAGCCAGAGATTGAAATCATTGTGATCTAAAAACCGTAACTGAGAAAATACCAGTACAAAAGATGTAACCTGATATGTGTGTGAGAATTGGGTAACCCGATATGAAAAGATCAGAACTATCGTTTTGATTTCGTGGGTCAATGGACAGCGGGTTTGTTGGATAGAAGCGTTGGTTGTTTCAGTGTGTGTATGGGGGGGGGGGTAAATTCCGCTGAGACTCCTG